AAATCTACGGGAAAGCTATACTTTTGGGGATGAAAACAAGGGTTTTCTGCAGATTGTCCCTTAAACCAATTCATTGAATACAATGTGAGTCATGCCGTCCCAAGTGTCATTGCATTCGTTTGACACGCTCAGCGTCACCAGTTCGTTTGATCTGACACGCTTCCAGGCTTCGGCGGCAAAGATTGCTGGAAGCGATTGCCAGTGCTCCCGCTTTGGGTGGGGCATGCCGCATGCCTGGGCACATCCATGATGACGTTGATTGGCTTTGCGTGGAAAAACAACCTCATGATTGGGTGTATCGTCGTATCTTGACAGGTATACCGTTATACCTTATACCTGGTCATTCAACGTCGTTCATCAGTGCAGGATTTCCCATTTGCCACATATGCCACATTGATCCACATGGACATCCAAGTGATGGACATCCAAAACATGGTGTTCAATTGCTGAAGAATGTGACCTGTCTGGCCCGCTTCATGCCACAAAGACGTGACATGCGCTTGCCTCTCTCTATTGGTCGTTCTCCGATCATGATACATCTTCAGGCGTCAATGATCAGCGATTAGTCAAGCTGAAAGCAGATGTCCAGAAATTGGATCGATTGAGCAGGGATCCTGAGAGATGTGCTCCTCAAGGGAAAAAACACAATCCAATTCGAAGCAAGAATGCCTAAGAATGTGATTTGAATGCGATTTTAATAGGTGGTTGGTCATCTCGAATTACTTGAATAAGAGTAGACTCTACATGACTCTACTCTATCTTGCGACCAGACAAGATTAACAAGAACCTGCATGAGAAAGAGTACCGTAAAGAATCATGCTGTACTGTGACACTGTGCTTGTCCTGTTTTGGACGCCGTCGTTGCTGAGGTTGCACACTGGTGAACGACATTGGAAATTGGAGTCGTCGTTTTGCGGAGCTCATCGTCGATCCTTCCAGAGATCCCATGGCGACTCAGTTGTGCTTTGTACGGTAAAGCCATTTTTACTCAACGGAAAAGCCGCATGGACTGCGTCACGCTTGTTTGAGGCATCGCCGAGTCGCCCAACGCCACGACCGATTTTCGTGTGGGGCGGGCGTGATGCCATTGAGCAGGCCGGGTGGTCAACAAGAGCTACTCTAAGAGATATGGAAGATGTTTAGACTAGACAGTCTTCCAGAAGTCTAGGAGTGTCCGGCGGCCATCGAGGAAGCTGATGCCAGCTTTATATTTGACACACCAAGTGCCAACCACTCTGGCTTCATTGCACTTTGTTTTGTGTTCTTGAAAAAGAAGACTGCAATTAATCGTAGAAGCCAAGTAGCGCAGTTCGTCGGATGGGCACATTGGTTAGCTGGCCCCTTTTAGAGACTTTGGTTCGTCTGATGCTGGTCAACATACTTTGGAGCACGCAGAAGAGAGACATAGAGAGACAGAATAGGAGATTTGTTGCCCCAGTTGTGGCTTCGAAGGTGAAACATGGTGAAACTGGGTGAATGCAGAAGTGAACAGCAGAGGGAGACCTTGACATGCTCCACCTGTTCAGGGATTCAAACAAACTCATCACCGCTCAGATCCAGAGCGATGCGGAGAGACTTATTCGTGGTGACCTTTCAGCTGGGATCTCAGGCTTCGAAAGCAGTGGTCCTCGGTGATTTCCAAGAAAACGATTTGTTTTGTGCACACCATTCGTGAGGGAGTTGTATTCCAGCATCTGTGTCAATATGATTCAATATGATGTTTCTGAAACACCCCAAGAATCCAGAAGCCTCAAATCCACTGGAGCACCAGATAGTTCGGGCACGAACACACCATTGAATTGCTTGGATGTAACGTGCCTTGTCGCTGCATAGGTAGGCCAACAGGATGAGCAGTCGAAGTCTGCAGCGCCACAAGGACAACTTTGAATCATGTTGAATCCTTTGCAGCGCTCGGAATAGAGAAAACACGGGGAAAACAACATGACACACGACAACATGTTCCACCAAACGCTTTGGCCATCTTTGGCCTCTATTATAGGGGCCTCAATTAATTGATTGAAGGCAAGAATTGCTAGGTCAGAAATAGATAGAAATAGACAAGCATCATGGAGCCACTCATGGAGCTGAGAGCAGTGCGATTGACAGAAACAACAACTGACCAGGACCTGAGGCCGAGAGCAGTGTGCCGAAACCTGAGCTTTGCAGAAGAATTTGCCACAAATTTGTTTGCAACAAATTCTTTGCATTATGTTTGGTGGTGCTCAATCCGAGGTCCCAGCGTTTTAAAGACTGGGGCTTTGCCAGGTCGAAGGCGCAAACGCGTCACGTGTGTTGGACGTCAGACCATTTTCAACGCGCCTCGCGGTATTCGCGAGATTTGAAGAACTCTCCCTTGGATAGCCATGCCAAGAGGCTGCGGAGGCTCGGCAACCTTGCTTTCACACGCAGGCGGCGCTGCTTCCGCCTTGCTCATTGGCCGCCGCAACTGCCACTTGGCAATCATTCATTGTGTAAGTTACAAGTGCCAGGAGCTAGCAACATTAAGAACGCTGTCATGAATGGAGGACACAATGATGAATGGAGAGAAGCCAAGCGCTGCGTGTTTTTTTGTGCGCATGAGCTGGTGATGATTGGTTGTATGAGTCCCACAGATTCTTTTGTTTGAATTAGGAACACGGAGGCATTGCACTGTAGCAGCCTCGTAATGACGCAACCTTTTGGTGGATCTGTGAAATTTGGTTTGAACAGAATGGCCGATTTGTCAGTTTGTAGGGCTTGGAATTTGTTCATATCTCTCCGGACGTTTCCGGACTGCCATTTGATGGCAGGTCGCTGCCCAGAACTTCAAAGTCACTGACGTCAGCCTGGCTTGCCTTGCAGTTGTCGAATAGAACTTGTCATTGTGAGTTCATGTGGAGCCTGAAACACTTCGGGAACATGATATGCAATATATACAATACATATATTACATGATAGTACATTATGTCATAAATGCCAGGGTTACACCCTGAGCTCTTTTCAAAGATAACCGTGATGAGGACTTATTTTTCTCTTGACCATGTTCTTTTCAGAAGAGATTTTCTCTTCAGATCCACAAATGATTTGGAGGTGCTTTTCGAAGGCCCTGCACCGTGTGGAGCCTAACCAAAATGGGTCGCATGTCGACGTTCTCAGCCTGGGAAGGGGGGTATTCGGCTGACGGGTCGCACGGTCTGCAGGGAGGTGGCGGAGTAGTTTAAAGAAGACTTGGTGGTTTCTGAGCATTGTTGCTTTTTTTTGACACCGTGATTTCATACCAACATGGTGTTCATGTTTTGTCCGCCTTTGGTTCCAATGCCTTGAGATTCTTCAAAACGAATCAACATGCTGTGCTCCAAGGTCGTGGTATCGTCCAAAGGTCGCCAAGGCTGGCATCAAGGCGTCGCGGGAGCGCGTGGAGTGGGGAGGAGGGGTGTCTTGCGATGCCGCATAGACCGAGTGACTGCGGAAGCCAGATGAATGAACTGGAATTCAGCAATAATTACACTCGTAGACTCATAGAGATGCGCAACGATGGCAGGAGGCAGGAACAGCAGTTATAATACGTTGTTCATGTTGATCTCAAATCACTCAGAATTCAGCGATGGTTCTTGGCTGCAGGGTTGGCCTTTTCTTGCTTTACCAGCAATCTAAAGAATCTAAAAGCAACTGGAGCTGATCAATCTAAAGCAACTAAAGCACACTCATTTGTATTGCAGCCAATTGCGAAGGCCCTGAAACGTGGCCTGCCCTGCGGTGGAGGTGACAAGCGGCTTTGATGCGCTCCTTGCGGGTGGGGTAGAAGTAAGGGAACATGAAGAACAGTCAAAGGAAGGCGTTCTTGTCATGTTGATGAAGGAAGGCCCCAAGCATGGAGATGTTTGGCCACCCTTGGAGACAAGGGTGTTTATGATGTTCTGTTCATCCAAAAGACTAGTAGCTTCTTGTTACTAGTAGCGATGGCCTCCACCTAGAAGCTTCTAGCTACTAAGTCAGCTACCAAAAGGAAGGTCGCCTTCGTCTCAAGACCCGAAGACTCACCCTCGTTGGACGATGCCTCCTGTGAGTCCAGCGAGGATGTATCAATCCATTCGGCTCCCCCCGTCAAGCGAAGTCCACCTGTCACAAAGTACTTGACGGATGTCTTCCAAAAAGGGAGATGCGTGGCTACAATTTCTGAATTTGCCGAAACCTCAAAGTGCTGCCCGCGAATCGAAGAAAGGGGGGCATTGCCCGCAATGCCTGTCATTTCATTGATTTTTGAGGGCCTTTGAGGGTTGCGGTGATTGTCTTATAGTCCCACAAGGGTATTCACCGTTTCACCCATGCAAAGATGCCGCCCACCGGTCGTCCATACGGACCCGTGACAAACCGAGTTGGAGCGTGTTTCACGCATGGTGCACTGCTTCCTCCTGGTGAAGGGCTTCCCCAAGCCTCAGTTTTGGCACAAAACGGCTACTCAGATCTCATATGACGGTCGACGGGTTGTTGGGAACACAGCCCGCCAGAGTGCAGACTTCCGCCCGGAAGACGCTTGAAGCAGAAAATGGCAGCTTTGCAGGTGAGTTTCGAGTGAACTTGAAGCATGTTGAAAGCCATCAAGTTGTTCAGATGTCGTGTTTGCATATTTGGTTCACTATAATTATATACCTGTTTGACCCATGCAACTAGTGTCTGTGGATGTGTGTACACGTAATTACTGTATCACCTTACTCCATGGCGGTCAGGTGGAAGCCTTTCGTGGCAATTTACATTCCACACAAAACCCAGCTGAGCGCGAAAAGCACGCACGATTTGCTGGCTCAGCTGTGCTCAAGTACATTGTTTGCTTGGAGAAGTCTTCAATGCCACACACTCAAAGACACAGAAGGCTCTTCTGTGACAAAGAGATTTGTATAGAGATTGCAAAGCTTGTCCTTGAAGCCTGTGGAAAGCCTGGATGTCCTAAAACAGCTGCATTTGGAGGAACATTGTGGGCTTGGAGCTTTGAGGAAAGAACCAGTAGTCACCAGCTGTTGAAACTGATTGTACAGATGTTCCGTCCGGTCATGGCAAGCTTGGGGCAAGCTGGGCACGCCGATGTGGCCCTCTCTGGCAGCTTTGCCCTCAGACTGGCTTAGGATGCTCTTGTCCTGAGTCACCTTGACAGAAGTGTTTGAGGGGGTTGTATCATGACCTTGAGAACCTGGCCAGGAGATGCTCATGTTGAATAATATTGCTGGAGATGAGTTCTCACTAGCATCCTTCAGCACTTCCAACGCTGTCAAATTCTCGTGGACGCTTGTCGCTCTCAAAGACCCCCGAACTGAAGAGCCAGACTTCAAACACCCGAACCACCCGAACACCCATCACCGTCTGAACCTTCGAGACGGCGTGGAGACCGACCCACTGCCCCTGGCTTCGCTGTATTCACCGTATTCATCGTATGATATCGTATGCGAGATCTCGCCGCATGCGGCCCATGTCATGAACATTGATGAACCATGAACTTGTAGAATTTGTTGAATCACATGAGTGTGTCCTCTTGGAAGAGAGAGACTTATTTTGAGGTTTCTCTTATTGCACTGCAGCTGTCTTGGGCTCAGCACAGCAGGACTTGTTTGAAGAGGAATTGTGGCCGATAGGGCCGAACAAAGCTCGTCAAGCCGTCGGAATGCTAAGAAAAGGGAAGATAGGGAAGAATGAAGAAGAACAGTTTGAGTCAATGATTTCTATGCGATTCCAGATATCATCAGTGAAGCTGATGAAGCTGCAACCAATCGCCTTCGTACGAGGGTCAGGTGGTACTGTGAAGCTGCAAAGCATGGCATATCACATGATTTGCATGGTCCAGCGAGTCCAGCATATTAGCGGTGACTGAGGAACCATCTTCAAAGTCAAGATGCAAGCGGGATTCGAGAGGTGTGACCACTCTACTCTGTACACTTTGTGCGGAGAGGTTAGAGCTAGAGATCAGCAGTACGGCCCATTCCGAGCAGCACATCTCTGGAAGGCAGTTTTCTCGAACAAAGGCTCTATTGAACACAGACTACGGACAACAGCAAAGTGCATCCATAGCTTTTCCATTCGCATTGTTGCAGGCCGGATAGGCGTACAGCATATATACAGTGCACATATATATATATAATATAGAAGACAAGAGCACATTCACAATTATTTGGGCATTCTAAAGCCTATGGTTCTGACATTTGGAGCATTTTTGGGCGCGTTATTATATATATTCCATAAACATAACTACTTCAGGCTCACTTAAGGCTTTTAATCACGGCTGTTGCCATGGAAGGGCCTTTGATAGTCTCCGAACAGTCACCTACATGGCATTTGGCCCAGGCTCGCATTTGTGAAATGAAAAAGACAGCGACAGTTGAACACCTTGTAACTTGCTCGGTTGAAAACTAGCTGAACCCCCACTTCCCACCCGCTTGAAAGATCAGAACTCCAACGATGCTTTCGTAGGATTTTGCACGTCATAGAGCACAGATGAAAAAGGCCTCCCACATTCTCAAAGTTTTACAATGTTTTTTGAAGTTTACAACTGAGATAGATGTTTGAGGCAAAACGCTTAATTGTAACAATCCGTTCGCGTCTCAAAGATTTCTATTTGTAGGGCCTTTTCTTTGCATGAACAAGCAAGCTTTTGCCTTTAGATGGTCTTGGAAATGCTTGGGACCCAATGCATTAACTATTCTAAGAATAGAACACCTTTGTGCCACGAGCGCCCTTCGTTGCTTTCAGGTGGATGACAAACCTGCCGGTTGAGAAGACTTGGTCCAACGAATCTCCTCGAACCGACTACAACGTGCTACAACGTCAAGGCATTTTAGCTGCAACGTCCTCGTGGCGATTGATGGTGCTCACGGCAACATAGGGGAACGCGTGAACCGCGGAATATCGCGGAATCCTTCGGACAAGATGACGTTCAGGTGAATGAGTTTCCGTCTTTAGGACATGTGCTCAATCGAACTTGAACCTTGAGCACTTCAAGTGCTTGAGGTTCTGGAGACGGGTTGGATCCCAACATGTGGTCTGATTCGAAAGGAGTCGCAGTCTCAGTTATCTTTTGTTTTGTTCTCGCTTATGATGGCAATTACTTTGGATGTCCGGCCTTCACTTGTTGCTGGATTGAGGTTTCGGATGTCTTCAGAAGCTTGCTTCCATGGTTCATTGCGCTGCTGTTGGGTGTGCTGACTGCCATCACAGGTGTTTTCTCAAGCAAGTGCAGTGCACAACAATGTTGAAATTCGCTCCTTTGGTCAAATCACTTTCAGGATGTACTGACGTGTACTGACGTCAGGCCGCTGTTTGTTTCCATCACGCAGGCAGCGCAATTGCTTTGTTCTCCGACTTCCTCGGGGATACCCGCTTTGGCTTTTGCTACGGCATCTTCTTGGCCGATCGCAACAGATGCTGCGGAGGTTCCGAAAACGTCGACTTCCTGGAGGAGATGCCGCTTGGCGAGGGGCAAGGGCTTAAGAGCGCTTGACTTCATGTCGTTGTACGTTGAGATGAGGCCTGGAGAAAATGCATGAACATATACGAACATGCATGAACATGAGATTACCACATATATATTCCAGGGCTGGTAACGTAAAGTCTCAGCCAACTGGTCGGGATTTTTGCATCGCTTTTTGACAGATTCATCTCAGGTGCACCAAGCCTGCGAGCCTCAGCTGTCGACCGGGTGTTTTCTTCTCAAAGAACGATGTGTTGGAGCCATCTGCAAAGTTCAGAGAGAGTATGTCAGATAATGTCAGTATGTCCTTTTGGAAAGTCCGAGACGACGAGAGAGTCGAACCAGTCCGAGACGATGGTGACTATGGTGACTTGAGCTGTCCGAAATACCTTCTCCACCTTGTGACTTGCTACATCCTACTCAGGATTGGAGACGATGGTGTCAGATGGATACCATGGGCGCATTTGCTGGGAGTCGGTGGAAGCGGCAGCGAATTTCTGTCATGGCTCCTTGGCTGGACCACTTCCACATCTCAGGTTGCTACTTAACAAGGTTCGCTACTAGGGGCTCCTGGCATTGCTACTAGGAGCAAAGAAGCTACTAGGGGCTCCTGGCCGTACTACTAGGAGCAAGGACGCTACGAACGGAACAAAGAGCTTCAACATTTCTTGAAACTCTCAAAAGAGGTCGGCGATGTTCGGGTGCCGGAGCTGAGCTCCCATCAATCAAAGCAGCAGTGAATCAGCAGTTCACCGTCTTCTTGTGTACATTTGACATGTGCAGAATTCTGTCCAATTTCATGGTTCAACTGATGCATTCCTGAGACTAAGTTAGAGATAGTTAGAGACTCACGAGACTCACTCACTCAGGTCTCTCTGGAAGGTCAGGCACCTTCTCTTTTCTCTGGAAGGTGCCAGATTCATCCGGCTAAGGTTTATGTACACCTTCGCTTCCCTGATGTTCACCGGCTTGGCGGCCTATTTGGTCTATGAATATGCACCCACAGCAAGAGGAAGCGGCATTCCGGAGGTGCCGGCACAGCTGACCGCACTGCTTGTGGTGGTAAGATAGGGACCATTAGTTGAACAAATTGAGCGAGGCTACCATTATTTTACAATATTTTACATTATTTTACTACTGACAGGGCTGATTTGACTTGGACTTAATACTTGCATCAGGAATACCTTCTGTGTGGCGTGTGAGCACTGCCGGTCAAGACAGAGAAACGTTGGGCTCAACAAGATAGGTGTTGCGAATGCCAGTGCGTATCGCGGGATTCCATGCCTTCCCTTTAAACTCTTGCAATGAAGACGCACGGGGTATCAGAAGGGTTCCTAAGGCCATAGGGTGTCACTTCTGACCCTTGCTGTGTAGCATCCAAATTTGGCAGAGACTGTTCCTCGTAATGATGTGGCCTCAGGCAGGCTGAAAACCCGGCAGTTGAAGTCGTGGGGTGGTTTCCGCCCTGGTCGTAATTAAACAAAAAAGTGATTGGTTTCACGAGCTTTGTCACCTGTCGGTTTTCACTCGCTGCTTCCAGGTGAAGGCCGCAGTGTCGGGCCACTTGGCGGATCGGTACATGACCGGTGGGGAGTGGGGGAATGCGGCCGCTCCGGAAGTTGGTGAAAGATAGAAGGACATGGATCAACTTGGGGTCTAGCCACAGCCAACATGTCAATGGCCCAGCATCCCTGTGATTTACAGTACCATGCCTATATTCTAAACAATCCTGCATTTTTTGAGACTCGTACTTTTCACGGGATCTCTTCAATGAGGTTATGATTTGCCGTTGAGCTTCACGGGTTCCTGTCTATTGATCAAGTCCTTGGGGCTTAGCCTGGCTGTGGGCGCGGGCCTTTCCTTGGGCAAGGAGGGGCATTGCCACATAGTGGGCCGTGATCGATTTGTCACAGTTGCGCGGTTTGTCGAATGGCTGGATGGATAGGGATAGATAAGGCATGATAAGGCTATCAAGCTGCTTTTCTAGCTCATGGAGCTTTTCAGCAGCATCTTAGTGTTGCTTGCAACTTCTCACTGGGAGTGGAGGTGTTGTGAATTGTATGGTGATTTGTTGTTTCTTCGATAGATCCAACAGGGCAGTTCCGAGCAGGTGGAGATGAAGAGGTCATTTGCATAACTGTTTAATTGCTATCCCTCCCTGACACAGGAGGGACCTTTAATCCATATCGGCGTTTGCATTGCATCAACGTTGCAACGGATTTGTGGCGCATTTGGCTGGCGGCGGGCAGGGATGCCCTTTCATGAGCTGCTTTGATGGATGAGTTAGGGAGAGCTAGGGTAAGACCATGTAAGACCTGTGACCGCCTGTGACCTTAACCTATTCATCACCACTGCTAGTGAGAACAGCGGCGTCATCATCAGAATGTGTGCGAGTAATCCTGGAGCTTCATGCAGATTCATGCACCAAGGTTGGCTTGTGTCGGTGCTGCAGCTGGTGTTGCTACGGCCTTTGGTGCGCCCTTGGGAGGTGTGCTGTTTGCTGTTGAGGAGCCAAAACGAGCGAAAACGACCAGAAAAGTCTGAACGACACCGAATGCCTCAACGACTCGCTAATGCTTCGAACCTTTTCGAACCCGTTGCTTCTGATGAACTGTCGGAAAAGCATATAAGCCCTATACGCTCCTATAGGCCAGTGTTTGCTAACTGAACGACACCAAAAGAGAACACCATTGTTTACTGCTGTAATTACCCTGTTTGACTTCTAGACAGCCTTATCTTATGAGCATTTGCTGGGCAACCGGATTGCTTCATTGTGTTTAGATAGAATCGGATAGAGTGCACCTTCGTGTAGACGACTGGACAAAACATGACAAAACAATTTCAACCTTGAGCCTCTGGACCTGTTGACCTGTGGACCCAATTCTCGATGCAGGAATTGGGTAGCGTCCGAAGTCTGTCCCAAAGGACCTTGTTGCTGAGCTTTCTGGCAGCCTTCTCAGCAACTCGGCAGCTAAATCATACCATTTCATACCCATGGCCCAAAGTCGCAGTTTTTTTCCACCAAGTCGCATTGCTGCATGGCTTTTTAGTGGGCATGGCTGTGTTTCTGCGCGTTTAATTTTCTTTTTGGGCTTTCTCAGAAAGCCATTGCAACCAGGCAAGCTTTACCTTGAAGTCTTTGAACCTGACCGGGGCCAACAAGCTTCTCAGCAAGATATGAGAACATTGAACTGCAGAAAGGTCTGAACTTGTGCTCTCCTTGCTTCAGAGTGATTGCACAAAAACCTCAGTGAGCAAGCCTTTCACTAACATTCACTAACTAGCGCTAACTAGGACCACCTGCAGGGTTGGACATGTTCCGGGAAGATGAGAAAGCCAGAGCAATTACTTTCTAGACATGGTCAGAACGCCCACAGCCTTGAATGTGCATTGTTTGTGGAAAAGAACTGCCCTGAGATGCTTCGAGTCATGTTAACGTCCTTGCCAGGCTCACGCTTTTTGCCTTGTCCCTGCCCACCAACACAGCCCGGAAGGTGGCTAGCTAGCATTTTAGTTGTAGCTTCACGTCTCAACATGCAATTCAGGCATGCGGCATGTTTGCAGATCCAATCAATTTGTGGTGTGGCAATGGTGGAGTTTCTAAAGGCTCACAGTTGGACTGTCGGGGAGGATGGAATAGATGAATCATGATGAATCACTCAGAGAGTGGTACATACTCTTAGCACCTAGTGACCTAGTGACAGAGGAAATTTAATGCACCAGTGTGTGCAGAAAATCTTCCTCGTGTTGCTGAGGAATGGATCTCTTGGGAGATGTTTGCATTTTTCCTTACTGGAGTGCTTGGAGGCTTTGGTGGAGCCTTGTTCGTCACTGTGAACATTTGGTGTACATCGCGCCGACGAGAAGCACTCAAGAAAGGGCACTTGTGGTTCTTGCCAGAAAGCCTTGTGTCTGGTAGACAACGCGGAACATTAAATGTCCTCGAATGTATTCTACTTGACGCTTGGTTGAATGGCAACTAACAAGTTTTGCACTGGCTTGATGAAACATGTGGTAGTGGTAGGTTGAATATTCTGGGGAGGGCTTTCTTTCTGACCCCCATTCTCGGTTAATGCAAATTCTCGTCCAAAGTCATTGACCTTTGAGCTTGAAGCCCTTGAAACTCAAGGCTTTGGTCACATCATTGTTGAGTTTTCCATTGCTTCGTTTGCTGCGAGCTATGAACACTGAAGGGGTTCATGCCCTATTCGAGACTTGCAACTGGTGCTTAAAGGCTCAAGAAAGAATGTGCTTTTTCCACCTGGTTCTGGGTCATAACTCAGAACGCATAAGACTTATTGTGGAGAGTTCTTCTGTTGGCTTTTTTGAAAAACACAGTTCCTCTTCGGAGCGCACACAGCCTCTCTTTTTTTCCCAAAGGTCCCAACGCGCGGCCGCATCATTTTGGACTTTGCGATGAAGAAGGCAACATGTCAAACACCAGCTTCTCAGCCAATGTAGCGCTGCTGACCGCTTCCCTGATTCGGCTCATTCAGACACTTGGCGAGTGAATTGCTATGCCTTATATGACCTGTCTTGCTAGCGCAGTTGAGGGAAAGACATTTTTTGTTCATTTAGAATGCTACTCATTTGCTCGTTCGTGGTTTGACTTAGAGGTTGCCAACCAGTTGTGCTAAATTTTTTGGCGCTTCAGTTCATTGTCATATTATTTTACACAGATTTGCGCTTCTGTGCCCACAGACTTTCCAAGCCTGTCTCTTCCCTTAACCAGCCTTTTGCTCAGGACGACATATACCTTTGGCGCAGCTATTCCCAGTGGTCTCTTTATCCCATCTCTGTATGTGGGAGCCACCCTGGGTCGTGCCACTCACCTTGTAAATCGATGAGTCGACTAGTGTCTAGTGGCAGGTGCTCACCTCGTTTCTGAGCTTAAACGGCCTCCCATGTGAGGCCATTGGGAACATCATCAACACGGTGGCCAGCTCTGTCTCCGAATTCCCACTGCACATCGAACCAGCTGTTTTTGCAATGGTAGGCTCGGAGAAAGGGAAAGCTTCATGGACCCGTTTCCTAGGTGTTCAATCGGGATATCTGACTATAAGACCGTAAATGGCATAGATGAAAGTGAACAGGCTGACTGGGTGTCGGCACCACATCGCTACATCAAGCAGGTAATAGCAGCTGTGTCCTTGTCGAAAAGATGTCATGACAAGATATTGCCTTTGTGAAATGAAGATCCTGAACGAACATAATTAGATCATACATTAAACAGTAGCTGGGCCAACCATGGGCGGGTAAGGACCATTACGGACATCTAGGGCCCTTAGGGCAAGAAACCAATGTGTTTTATATTGTAGAACGTGTGTCACACGAGCAGCTCCTGGATAAGCTGGAGTTTCTTTGCATCATGTGTTTTTCTTTTTACTTAGACATGCTTTACTGTTTGCCTTCGCCTTGCACCGTTTTTTGGTCTTGATGATTCTTGTTATTCTTTTCCTGTCCTTATTATTCTTTGGTTTGTCCTCGACCCTTCCTCTTTGGGGAAAGACCTGAATGCTGCCAGGCGCTATTAGCATGCTATCAGGATTTTGCCGCATGACTGTCTCGCTTGTGGTGATTATGTTTGAACTTACAGGCCGCAAGGGCATGGGACATTGACAAAGCAAGCAAAACACATGACGAGAATGACACAACTGCTTTTGTGCTGAGAATATCCTTGAATGATCCGAGACTTTGCACTGCCAACAACACCTCTTGTTTTTCACATTCTTTCTTAGCCAGAATATGGACACATGGTGCCTGACAGGCGAGTTGAACTACATTGTGCCTTTTATGTGCGCTGTGCTAACGGCCAAGCTGGTTGGAGACTTGATGACTCCATCCATTTATGATGCCCACGCGAAACTCAACGGCCACTCGACGGCACCAGACATGTTTATATAATCATCTTGAGAAATGGACATACCTTTGTAGGAATCTGCTGGAGGGGCTGTGGGGAGTGGGTTCTGACAAAGGCCCGTCAGGTCCAGGCCCTAGTGGCTTCGAAGACCGAAGGCCGAGCTTTTATTCGGCGGATGAAAGCGCAGAACCCAAAATCAATTCGCCTTTTGCACATCTTTGAACATGTTTTGAAGCATTTGCTTCAGGCTACATGCCGGTCGAAGAGCAAGGCGATGTGCGTCTCTCAGCGTGCAACGGAGGTGACAGAGGGGATACAGAGGCGTACAGAGGTGCAGGTTTGAGGAGCGAGGTAAGCCATCGTAAGCCTGTGCTAGTGCTTGCTTGTGGTAGCATTGCATGATATTGCATGGCCATACATGGGTCTTTGATGCCATGCAGTTATAGCTTATGAAGAGGATCACAGCACTGAATCGCGACATAGGGCTACAAGTTTATATATTTATGAGGCTTACGCCTGACAGCCGGGCGCCGGCCAAAATTTGGGTTAGGGTCCGCGCAGGGCTGGATCCTCTCTCCCTCTCCCTCCCTCCCTCCCTCTCTCTCTCTCTCTCGCTTTCGCTTTCCCCCTCCCTCTCTCTCACTCTCTCTCTCTTTCCCTCTCCTCTCTCTCCCTCTCCTCTCTCTGTTTGTCTCTGTCTCCGTCTCGGTCCTAGGTCTCTGTCGGTCTCTGTCGGTCTCTGTCTCTGTCCCTGTCTCTGTCTCTGTCTCTTTCTCTGTCTGTCTCTGTCTCTGTCTTCTCTGTCTTTGTCTCGGTCTCCTCTGTCTCCGTCTTCGCTGTCTCTGTCTCTCTCGCTCTCTCTCTCTCTCTCTCTCTCGCTTTCGCTTTCCCTCTCCCTCTCTCTTTCCCTCTCCTATTGAGCAAAGTTAAGCTATCTGGTGCGCATTTTGGCCCTAGGTTGGGCCAAGTTGCGCCCACGTGGTCTATGTTGGGCACATCTTGGGCCCAAGTTGAGCCTATGTTGGGCCTAGGCCGGCCTATGTTAGGCCTATGTTGGCCTAGGTTGGGCCTATGTTCGGCCTATGTTGGCGTATGTTGGCCCCATGTTGGCCTATGTTGGCCCTATGTTGAGCCATCTTGGAGGCTATGTTGGGGATATGTTGGCTATCTTGGGCCTATGTTGGGGAAATGTTAGGCAACTTCTGTGCCCAACACCCACGAAATGTCGATTAAGCCTGTCCGCGCGGCACGCATAACCGACACCACCGGCGCCCTGTTAGGCGCAAGTCGTCTCCGCCGAAGGCCACGAAACACTGTAAAAAACGATGTTTTCCACATCATGCGCAATCATGCTGGTAGATAAAATATAAATGGCATAAAAATCTGTCGACCGGATTCGGGCGGGGGTCGGGCGGAGGTCGACCAAAAGGGTCGGCGGCAGGGGGCGCGAGCGTATATAACCTTCGGTTACCAACCGAAGGCCTCCGGCAAGGGAACTTGCACGTGGCCGGCGCCCGGATTTATGAGGCTTACGCCTGACAGCCGGGCGCCGGCCCACTAGGGTCTGTGGGGCGTATGTCGCGCCTATGTTGGCCTTGGTGGGGCCTTATTGAGCAAAGTTAAGCTATCTGGTGCGCATCTTGGCCCTAGGTTGGGCCAAGTTGGGCCCATGTGGTCTATGTTGGGCACATCTTGGGCCCATGTTGAGCCTATGTTGGGCCTATGTTGGCCTATGTTAGGCCTATGTTGGCCTAGGTTGGGCCTATGTTGGGCCTATGTTGGCGTATGTTGGCCCCATGTTGGCCTATGTTGGCCCTATGTTGAGCCATCTTGGAGGCTATGTTGGGCATATGTTGGGGATATGTTGGCTATGTTGGGCCTATGTTGGGGAGATTTTAGGCAATTTATGTTGAAAAATATCTTCCGATACAACTTTTTACGATTTTTCCTTCCCGCAAAGCAAAAACCATGAAAAAACCTAGGTTTTTTGACATCGCCAAGATGAAATTCTCGGCTGCCGAGGGGCCCGAAATCCTGTAAAACGGTGTCTTTTATACCTCACACACACGATACACTGTAAATTACAGGGGCATCAGTTGACAGGAAGTGACCTGGGGGTCCGCCCGTTTTGGGACCGAGGGTCGGCGGCAGCCGGCGCGCCCGTCTATAACCTTCGGTTACCACCGAAGGCCCTCCGGGCATGCCACGGGCGTCCTGGCCGGCGCCCGGATTTACCAGGCTACCGCCTGCAGCCGCCGACCCCAAGGGAAAATGTAGTGGCAGGGTTGGGTCCCGGGATGGTCGCGGGCAGGGGCCTACGAGTGGAATTGTTTTTTCATAGAAGTGGGCACATTTTCCGCTGGATTTGTAGGATGTCAAAGGTTGTTTTGGGTTCCCAGGTTTGCCCAGAAAATTGCTAACCCATTTCCTTCCATTGTTGTACTCATGCCTTTGATGCGCTTTACAAGGTCTGGCCAGTGCCCGTGGTTTGTCCTAGATGTTGTAACGTCAAAGGCTTTGGTAAGATTTTCGCATGCCTGTCAGGCGCCCGTGTCCGCGCCATGTGGCGTGTTGGTTCTAGGATGGAGCAGAAAATCCTACCAAACCAGCGGAAAACGTTACAAACTCTAGCGCAGACCATAGGCGCTAGCAGGAACCCGGAGCCCGGCAGAGCATGAAAGGCATGAGTACAACAATGGAATAGACTAGGTTAGCAATTTTCTGGGGAAATCTGGGAACCCAATAACAAAGCGTCTAAGAAGCCCACCGAACCAGCGGAAAGCGTTTCAAAATCTAGCACAAACCATAGGCGCTAGCAGGAACCCGGAGCCCGGCAGAGAATGAAAGGCATGAGTACAACAATGGAAGAAAATAGGTTAGCAATTTCCGGGGGAAATCTGGGAACCCAAAAACAAGAGGAAATGCTAGAAAATGCTTTGAAAAGCACACGAATCCACCCGACAACGTGACAAAATCTAAACAAACCCAAAGGCATTCCTACGAAAATGCTGGAAAAGCCGTTGAAAATCCTACAAACCCAACAGAAAATGTGACAAAATCTAGGAAAAATCAAAGGTATAGGCACGAGTACAACAATGGAATCAAATAGGTTAGCAATAGGTTAGCAATTTTTTGAGGAAATCTGGGAACCCAAAAACAAGAAGAAATACCACAAAATCCTTTGAAATTCCTAGAAATCCAGCGGAAAACGTGACAAAACCTAGAAAAAACCAAGAGCATTCCTAAGTATATGCGGGAAAAACCTTTGAACATCCAACAAATCCAACGAAAAAGACAACAAAATCTAGCAAAAATCAAGGGCATTGGCCGGGACCACGCCGCGACCAGCCCGGGATTCGAGCCCGGGACCATTTTGGACCGTGCTTATTTTCCCGCGCGGATGGAGAGGGTGCCCCAAGATGTAAATCAATTGGGATGGCAGAATCTTGCACAATCCATGTCGGAAAAATGTCGAAATCTTGTCGAAATCATCGTCACTGCAACAAGGGTCCGGAGGGGTAGGGGAGGTTAGGCTAAGGCTAAGGTCTAAGGCTAAGTCTAAGTCTAAGTCTATCCAAGTCTAAGGCTAAGGCTAAGGCTTAAGGCTAAGGCTACTAAGGCTATAAGGCTAAGGCTAAATCAACAGTCACGCTTCACCCCACGAGTGGGGTCGGCGGATTTTGATGAGTCATTTTGCGTCTTTGGGATGAACCAATCAACCAGGTGTTTGATTGCGTCAGGTTTTGCTTGGTGCATTGCCCATCAGACAATGAGGATTTCTTTAGTCAATCTTTAGCGGACCAATTGCTACCAGTTGTCCTTTTGGTACTCCCCTGCAGATTAACATGGAACCATTGGGTTGCAGAGGAAAAGCGGCTTTCGCTCGCCCCGGATTTCGCAGAATTCCAAACAGCGCCCCTGTCGACCTGACGATCTGACGATGTTGATGCATGCATTTGGTCAATGAGTCAACTGCGATTTTCAGATGATCACGGAATTGTGCTGTTCTGTTGACAATCCAGTTGTATGTGGTATATATGTGATAGTTTTTTGACTGTGCCAAGCCTCATGGTCCAGACAACTGAGCAGGGCAAGGTTTGACAATTAATTAGGTTTTTTTGAGTCTTTGTGGGGTTCCATCATGTGTATATGATTCTATCGAAGCAATGCTTTGCCAAGCAGATGGGACAGTATGACTGCGCACTGCGTGGCATTGGAACACACCATAGCACTTGTATTATTGATTCATGGATGAACAGACTCTTCGTTGCTCCAAGGATTTGATACTGTCTTGGCGGATATCACCAAGCCATGTGCCTGCCTTTGTTGGAAGCACGTCGCACGCGTGCAGTTGCATCCCGCATCAAACCAATCAAAAAGGCAATTTGGAGCAAGAAAGCAATGTTATATGTCAAGGAAATACATTGATTTGTATCAAACAAACATCGTCGAACTGAGGTCCCTTCTTCCGTCGGTATTTTCTTCCCTGTTATTTTTTCGTCGGTTTGTCAACCGTCCTCGACTGGTTGTTCGTCCGCTGGTTGGTCCCTTGGCCGTCTCGGTCTGCTTCCCTCGATCCTCTGGTCGCTGCAGTGGAAGGGGTGTCCTCAGTCGCTGATTTGCCTTTGTGCGCCCCATGGGGCGAGGACACGCGGCGCACACGCGCATTGCGCCCCGGTAGTATATTCCTAGTTTCTGGCCTGCCAGAAAATCTGATCTTGAAGTGGAACTCCAACCTCAGGCACCTTTGGTGGGCTATTTGCGGGTAAGTTTGAGCTCTAAAATTACTTATCTAAAGAACATGTTTATTTCCTGGTGGCTCCTTGGCTTTTGGCAGTTGCTGCCTTCTGGACTTTTGATGGCTTTTGGTGGCTTCTTGCATTTTGGCTTGCACTGGCTTCTTGGGCTTGCGGTGGCTTCTAATTGCTTTTGCTGGCTTTGGGTGGGATCTCGTTTTCTGCGCTTCGATGGGTTTACTTGGCTTAGAGCTCTGTTCTTTTTGATTTAAGATATCGCTACAGAACATGCTACAGAAGCAGGGCGATCAGTCGAATTCCCAAAGGTATGCAACGCTTCAATCGATCCTCAAAGTGCTGCATACATTGGCAGGCCAAAGCCTCACATGCCCGACATGTTGCAAATACTATTGGTAGCAGGGCCCTCTATCCGAAGCAACAGCAGATCTCGGCAGATCACCAATGCCTTGCTGACAGGCAGCATATTCTTACAGAACGGCCCTTGGAAGTGCGTGCTTCCATATTTTCTAGGAGAAATTGCAAGTGCAGTGCCAAAGGTTTCAGCTAAGATTGTTTTTTCCCGAATACGTAGCGAAGGGTTCTCGTTTAACTCTGGGGGTCTGGGGGTAGAGTCTTGTTCGCGATCCGTTGTTTCTATGTTCGCAACCGTCCGCAACCGTTCGCAACCGTCCGCAACCGTTCGCAACCGTTCGCAACCGTCCGCAACCGTTCGCAGTAGGACGCTAAGG